GATTCATATTTATGACGGTCACAGTGTCCCAGGGTCATGTGAAGTGACCAAAACCTGCTGCAACCACCCAGCAGACGGGGGGAATAAAAACCAAACACCCCCCCACCCCATCCCCGCTGCCAATCCTCAACAGAAATGTTCACAACAATGAAAACCTCGGACAGGAGGTGGGCAGGCAGGTGTCTTGCTCGGCTGTGGCTTGGGGGGCACTTTTTTTACAGTGCCATTGTAACTTCAAACAGTCACTAAGCAAACTGTTGTAAGTTGAGGACTACCTGTACTTTATCACTTTTTTCCTTTTTTTTTTTTTTGGGTCATCAAGTTTTTGACACCTTGCTAGGCGACTGGTGGTACTCGTACTCGGATGTTGCCATGTCCTAAAAGTGGTACAGTGGGTGAAAAGGTTGAAAAGCCCTGCTTTAGAGAGTCTGCCAGAGTAGCTCTAAATATGGCGCAATGATTACGTGTCATCAAATGATTGTCAACTCTTAGCAACATTGTGGCAATCTAAAAAAAGAGGAGACCAAGACACGAATGACAGTAAGCGGGGCCTTCCAATCCAAGAAATATATTGATGGACCCATCTTCCCATCAGCCATTGCTATTGACCATCTTAGTGGAAACTTGTGGGAGTTATATTTGAATAACACTCAGAATGACAAAGGCTACCGTGATTTGTAGGGATGGGTCCTGTACCATCCATAGGGAAGAGATGTCTCCTACTCTTGAGTGATGTGCCCAGACTTGAAAGGTTCTCCATGCTGTTTCTAAATGAGTTGGGGACCTCAGATGAGTTGCTGAATTTCCTTGAAATCCACTTCTCTCATGGCTTCTGATCTTCTTTCTAGGTATGGACATTCCAGAAGAGCCAGATGGATTTGCTGATCTCTTTCTATAAAAATAACGCTTCAAAAGCTGAAGGAGCACTCCAGCAAGCTCTCCATAAACTAACTATCCAGGAAAAGTGAGATATGCAGGTTGTGTTCATATAACAAAGGAAAATAGTATAAATGTGTTTGCACAACACTAGTACGAATATTGAATTATCCTATTTCTGGGGTCATAGAATACACCAAACATGCTGTATATTACCCAAATAAGCTGCTTCATACAGTACCGTAAGCCACAAAGAGAACCTAACTAAGATTCAAAATAAGGTTAACAGGTTGTGCAAATACAGCTGCTAGGTCTTTCGTTTACCTGCCTGGCATACTTTGTGAATACAGCCTCTTAGGTTTTATCTGTAGGGATTAGTAAAGTTAAAATGATTAACTTTACAAGATCTCATTTCATATTGTCACTCAGTTAATAACATTACCAGTTGATCCAAGGTCCATCGTGACTTCTTAGGTCAACCTCCCACTCTGGGCTGTTTACGTAAAATACTTAAAATAAAACTTTTTTTTCTGTCCATATATCCACAAAGCCATTCTTTCCTCTCCCCTCTTTCTCAAAAGAAAGTTACTGGAAAGGTTGGAAACATCCTTCAGTTGTCCTAATTGGTGGTGGGGGAAATAAATACTTGTTTTATTTTTGAGGGAGATTAAAAACTGTGGCAAGCAAATAAGATTATATGCTTTTCTAAAGAAGACTCCAGGCTACTGCTCTCTTCTGATATCGGCCATTAAATGTTAAAGCATGTTGATAATTTGCGAAGTGAAACAAATAGCTTGCATGGCCCCCGAGGCGGCCCTCCCGCCTTTATTCTCATCACCGCTGAAGTGTTCTCTGGTGGGCTCTAAAGCATCAAGGCATATTATTATTATCACTCTCTTTCTGTTTCTCCCTGCCTGCCAAACTTCCATATGTAGAGAACTAGAGGCTGTACAGAAGGAAAACAGGGAACTGAAGAAGAAGTACTTCAACCTGAAGGTAAGAAGTTTGGTGGAAACAATAATAGTTTCCCTTATTTGGTTTCTTGTCACCCTCTGCTGGCAGCAACGGCTTCTGCTCTTCTACTTTATTTGTCTAGAGCAGGGCTTTCCAACCTTTTCACCCATTGTACCGCTTTTAGGATATGGCAACATCCGAGTACCACCAGTCGCCTAGCAAGGTGTCAAAAACATGATGACCAAAAAAAAAAAAAAGGAAAAAAGTGATAAAGTACTGGTAGTCCTTGACTTACAACAGTTCTCTTAGTGACTGTTCAAAGTTACAATGGCACTGAAAGAAGTGCCCCCCAAGCCACAGCTGAGCAAGACACCTGCCTGCCCGCCCGGTGGCTCTCTTCCTCCTGTCCGAGGTTTTCATTGTTGTGAGCATTTCTGTTGAGGATTGGCAGCGGGGGTGGGGTGGGGGTCTTTGGTTTTTATTCCCCCCGTCTGCTGGGTGGTTGCAGCAGGTTTTGGTCACTTTACATGACCCTGGGACACTATGACCGTCATAAATATGAATCAGTTGCCAAGCATCTGAATGTAAATCACAAGACCCTGGAGAGGCTGCAACATTCCAGCTGATTGGTGCTTCTTCTGGGCTCAGCAGAAGCGCCAGGATCAGCGCCGAGCTCCAGCTGGAGCCTGGCACTGATCCTGGCGCTTCCGCTGAGCCCTGACAGCTCTATAGAAGCGCCGATCAGCTGGAATGTGGCACTGATCCTGGTGCTTCCGCTGAGCCCTGACAGCCCTGCAGCTCCAGCCGTCTCTCGTTCAGGCTTGTGCGGTGCTGCCACCGGTTCAGCTCATTCCCCTCCCCCACTACCACTTTTCTAGGATGGTTGCGTACCACCTGCCAGGTGCCAATATACCACAGGTGGTACCCGTAGCCCTGGTTGAAAAGCCCTCGTCTAGAGAAGGAGAGAGTAAATCAAACCCTTTTGCGTGTCAGGGGCCCGGCTGTTGACCCCAAACCCTCCCTCTTCTCTCAACAGGCTTTTCCCAGACACCACCAAAGCAGCAGGTCAGTATGTCCGTTCATCAGGATCGGCAGCCCATGAAGCAGAGGCAGCACTATAAGAGATCTTCATGGCAAAATGAGGGAGCTGGGTCTTGGGTCTGAAAACACCAGAGGAAGAAAAAACCCAATATTTAGGGGGTGGGTGAGTGGGGAGAGTTATCCTAACTGATCAAACTCATTTTGATTTGATGCCAAAACAGCACCCCAAGGCCGGTTGCCATCACTCCTCCGTCACAGACAGGTAAGAGAGATAAGGATTTCGAATCACTTCACCGGGTCCAGGGTAATATTGTGTATATGTGTAGATATTTGCATGGGCAGAAATATATGGATGTTTGCCCAGATCTCCGAGGGCAACGTAGGATATGGACCGATATATCCAACTATTAAGATTTCTTAATATCTCAGCCCAACATTATGTCTAGCAGAGTTAACCATGGCTGTAACCCTCTCATACTTTGCAGTTACACCGCAACCAATTTTCCAGCGCTCCAGTGAGGTAGTCAGGTAAATGTGTTTTGTTTTTTTTTATAGCTAGGGGTGATTTAGACTATTAATAGTTTTTATCAACAACTCCTTGGACAGTTTTTGTAAAAAAAAGGCTAGCAAAAATGCTACATTTTACAGAAGTAGCTTGGGTCCACACAAAAATCCCAGTTGGATGGTGAAAATATCCCGAAGAGATTGTTTTCTGGCAAAGGGTATTTTGGCTAAGTCTCCCATGGCAGCCACTATTCTAAAGGTGCTCCAGATCCTGAAAGATTGCGTAAAGTTTGGTAACTTGCTCAGAGTTGAAGAGAGGAAACAGTGTTTTCTTTGAAAAATCAGAATACTGAATACCATAGAGCTGGAAGGGACCTTGGAGGCTTTCTAGTCCAACCCCTTGCTCAAGCAGGAGACCCTATACCCGTGGTGGCGAACCTATGGCACGCGTGCCAGAGGCGGCACTCAGAGCCCTCTCTGTGGGTGTGCGCGCTGCCGCTGCCAGCAGCTTGTGCAGGTCCATTAGGCCGCCACCGTCGCCCGGAGCGGCAGCCCCACCCAGCGCAAAGGAGGTGAAGCAGCCAGCTAGCAAGCTTGACTAGAGGTGGTAGAGTAAGCCCAAACCCACCAAGTCAAAGGCCACCCCGATCAAGGAAAGCCGGATCCCCATCGGCGCCATGGCCCCCCAGTCCTAGCTAGGATTGCGTGCCTCCCCCCCATCTATACTGGGCCTCCTGCCCACCGTCCCACCCACCACAGATCTCCTGGATCTCCCCCAACCCTGCCCGGCCCCCACAGGCGTCCCCCCATGAGCAACATCGAGGTGGCCATGCCAACCCCAGCCACGCCCACCCAGTCTGCCGTGACAACTGCAGCCATGCCCACCCAGTGGGCCACGCCCCCATGCCCCCCCCCGAGGGCACCACAATGCTGATGCAGCTCAGCTTTGCAATAAATAAGTGGGTTTTGGGTTGTGGTTTGGGCACTCAGTCTCTGAAAGGTTCGCCATCACTGCCCCATACTATTTTTTCAGACAAGTGGCTGTCTATTCAGCGACTTAGAATAGGCGTATTCTATCTGAGATATGGAATGAAGTGTCAGCACTTCATTCCACATCTTAAGAATCTTCTGGCTGCGACTATGGTCCCTTCGGTCTAGCTCCTTTACAGCAAAATCTGATTATTATACTTTAAAAGTCCCCATAAATAGTACTGTGCATCCGATTGCAGATTAACTTTTCAGTTGTTGTAGTGACAGCTCCTCGTGCCTCTTTCGCAGCCGCTCATCTTCTATGGATTCCATTTCTTCCAGAGTCAGCCACCAACCAAGCTGGCAGGTTAGTTTCTGCCGTCGCTTTTCTTTTCCCAGGAAAGGGAAACGGTGGATAGACTGCTTTGTTTTTCCTGCGGTCATTTGAAGTAGTTTTGAGAATAAAATTCCCCCGATACCAACTGCCCAAAATGAAAAGCTGTCTTTGGACACAAAACATTCTGGACCCTTAGTTCCGCTTAGCTGCACGTGGCATGGCCAGAACCACTGTTTCTTTAGCAGTAATGTGGTTAAAAAGGTGGTTTCACTGGGGAATCCTGAAAGTCCCCAAAAGCCCAAACTGGTTTATCTGCAACGAAGAACAATTAATAATGTTAGCTCTAGTTTCTGAATGTTTTAATTGTTCCCTTTTAGTACTTTCGCTCCCTTAACCCTTCATCTGTTAGTGTATTTCCATATGGGCTTTGTTTTTCATAGTTCTTAATATTTTTGTAATGATTTTACATAGCTCTTAGCTTTGTTGTACGCTGCTCCGAGTCCACTATACCAAGGGTAGGCAACCTTGGCTCTTTTATGACTCGTGGACTTCAACTCCCAGAATTCCTGAGCCAGCATAGCTCAGAGTTGAAGCCCACGAGTCATAAAAGAGCCAAGGTTGCACTATACCAGGGGTAGGCAACCTCGGCTCTTTTATGACTCATGGGCTTCAACTCCCCAAATAGCTGACTCAGGAATTCTGGGAGTTGAAGTCCATGAGTCATAAAAGAGCCGAGGTTGCCTACCCCTGCACTATACAAATGAGATAAATGAAAATTCCTTTAAACCTTTCTCCCCTTTATTCAGTATGCCACGAGAGCCCCTAGAATGACCCCGGCGGTCTCTGCAAACGGTAAGAAGCGTAACTGTCAACAAACAGTAAATTTCTGCCAGATTTAGATTCTGGGCAACACAGAGCCCAAAGAAATAAATTCAAGAATCTTCCAGGGTATCCTTTCTACAGACAAGCATCCTTTCACAGCTTATTATTTGGAACAGAATTTATTGTGAAGAGAAACCCCATTCCTTCTCTGTCATGATTTCTGTTTGATCTGCTCACCTCAGATACCCTTTCCCCACATGCCTATCCTTAAACTTCCTATCACCTTTCCACGTGCTCTCCACCATTCATTTCATGCATAACACCTTTACCTTCTATTTGGCAGCCACTCCGTCTTCAGCCTCCACGCAGAGCTTATTCTATAGGTGAGTCAGAAAAGCAGGGGAATGGGGGGGGGGCTTGATGATGGTGCTGCTTATACAGTGTCAGTTAAAAACATTTAAGTGTTGTCTTCCACAATAATCAGGACTTCTGTCAACTCTTCCCTCCTTCCTCCTTTTTAGGGCCTCTCCTTCCGCTTCCCATACCCCCAGTTTCAATGTCTTCGGTCTTCAAACTCCGATGGCGAGGCTAAGTCGGAGTGCTAACAACCCTGGGCAGCCACAGGAAACTCCATACTTCAACCTCAGCATCTTTCCTGGTGAGGAAAGAGTTCCTCTTTGGCTAATACATGTTTATTCCATATTGTTTTCGTGCAGTAATGCACTACTTTCGGTTGCAATCTAGCTTCTTACATGAACTTATAATGATTTGTAAATAACAGGTGTTATGTACAAATCATAACATCTAAGGCCCAGTAGCTAGAGGTGAATCCCAAAGCAATGGATTTAGCTTGAGTGACCCCCAAAGTTGTCACTGAACAGTACTGTGTAGAGTAACAGAAGGGGAACCATACACAAGGAATAATCACATCAATTATACCGTATTTTAAGTAACTTAAAAACTTTGCCCTATTTCCTAGAAAAGTCCTCTTTTCTTTTGATGCGTGCCTGACATCACCAGCCTGTCCGAAGTATATCGTGCAGTTTTAACCCTGGCATTATGTATTCCAAAATAGTTAGACAAACTAAGGGTTAGCATGAAATGCAGATGCCAAAATTGACTAAGATGTTAAGATAGCCCAATTCCCATAGAACAGGGGTAGGCAACCTTGGCTCTTTTATGACTCGTGGACTACAACTCCCAGAATTCCTGAGCCAGCCATGCTGAGGGGAAAGGGAGAGGTTTCCAAGCTGAGCCATGCTGGCTCAGGAATTCTGGGAGTTGAAGTCCACGAGTCATAAAAGAGCCAAGGTTGCCTACCCCTGCCCTAGAACTTATCCTCTTGTTCAGTTTCCTATTGCTTCTGTTTTACAGATCCAACAGGTGCTTCTATGCCTGACCACAATGCTGAAAGACTGCGCCCCCGACAGGTAAAAGTCAGATTGTAGACAGGTAGTTCATGCTAAGAAAGGCCTCATCCATTTCAATTGCTTTTTCTTTCTCTTGTCATTCATAGCTGGGATTCACACCTCACTCTACACCATCCTTTCCCCACAGGTAAGTGAGACCGACGTGGATTCTTCATTCTCACCCTTTCATATGTTACATCACACAGCTTTGTGAAAGACGATGAATGTAATCCATACCCAGGTGAAATTATGGCTGTCCTCTATCCCCCACCCCAACTCTAGTTTTCATCCTCCTTGCCAGTAAGATGCAATAATATTGAAAGTGTTGCTGCTAAAACAAATTTGTTTTAGCAGCAAAACATAAGTCCCAGCTTTACCTGTTAGAAGTCTTAATGGCAGCATCCAAAGGAACAAAGTCCCAATTTTTTCTCATTCCCCGTGTTTTCTATTCAACTGAATTTGTAGTGTGTTAGAAATGCATTACTTACCATTATCAGAAATTAGAACATAATTTTGCTGAGCAAATTAAATAGTGATCAGAATTTAATACAGTACTAAACTGAGAAGACTGGCTCCACGCAACTAGTTAATTGCACTTTCCCCCAGGTATTCATCCATCAGCCAAATCCATCAGCAATAATGGGGATGAACGAAGCAGCTCTTCTCTTAAACATCATCCTAATGTTAGGTTGCAAGAGAGACTCTTCTGTGCAGACTTCCTGCAGCATACGTTCTTTGAACATTTGAGCCCTGATTAAAAAACAATCCATTAATAATTGAGTGATGCCATTAGGAGACGTTGTTTTGATTAAAATTCTATTTAAATATTTTTTTGTGACTTGAAATAAGCCATTCACAGCTGCTTGAAGCCAACCGGTATATGCATCGTAGTAAATAAATAAAAAAATATTATACAAGACAAAGCATATTTGCGGCACTTAGCATATGTGACATAATCTTAAAATAAATGCCTATAAATCTTTTGAGGAAAATGGTTAAAACTAGCTGGCGAACTCTGCAGTAGCATTATTGATACGTAGTGTTTTAACTGTCCGATATAGCCCATTAAGTAACCTGCGAGTCCTAGCTCCAATCTTACTTTGTGACTAGATTTGCTAAGAAGAAAAATGTATTATGTTGTATGTTCTCTGAGCTAAAATCCTTTGTGTACTGCTTCCAAGATGAAATATTCAAACAATTTGATCCAGGTTGCGCATAATATACGAGTATCGTATTTGCAACCAACGTTGTTTCCCAGATTGAAATGAAACAGATACACCTTAAAAAAGACTATACTTAGAAAGAGGAAAAAGACAGATATAATTTACTGAACAGAATCATCTATTAACTCACTCAATTTATTAAGTAACCAATCCACAAATCAAATTATTATTCTGCTCAGTTCTATCCTGGACAAGTTACAGCCTTTGAAGGTTTCACTAAGTACGGTACTATAATCTATGTGCCACTTTCTCTTTATCTAAGGTTGATTAGCTCATTTCAGTACTTTTAAATTCTCTTGCCTGGAGAGACAGAGGCTATTTTTGTAGAGGTTCTACTTTAAAAAAAATTGAAAATGATATTTAATAGATTTTTTTAAAAAAGTACAGATGGTTAGTCTCTGTCTAGTCTCCTACCTCTTAATCCTTTCACAAACTTCCAAATTCCTCTTTTCTTTCAAAATACTCTCAAAAAGCTATTCTCAGGATGTATGGGTTTATTTTCCCATCAATCTGGGGATAATGAGAGTTTGACAAATGAAGATACCAAGCATTTAGGAGCAAGTTTGCAATTCTTTTTGCAAGAGGCCACTCTTTTTATCTTACACTATCTCTAACTGGCATTCAATTCACTACATCAAACCAACTAGTACAAACCAGATATATGACCTGAATGGAAAAACTGGATGACGGGGAAAGCTGGTGAATCAAGGCACTAACGGAACAAGGAAAAAGAAACAGTCCAACTAAGCAAAATGATATGAAAGTCACATGATAAAGAAGGACCATCGAGAGCAGATATTAGAAGTCGTGCCCAAAATGTTTTTTTTTTAAATAAAAGAGAATGAAAATGGAAATAAATGACAAAAATATCCATCTGAATATAATATCTACAATTACCATCTTGTGTACCAGTCTAAAAACTAACATTTTTTTTTTTAGTCCCAACGTATCTTGAAGGCATGAAAACAGGAAAGTTAGCCTTGTCTTCTAACTTTTCTTCGATTTCAAAGAACTGGCTTACAAAACAAAACATAAGCACTGACAAGCAAACAATTACTTTTAACTGTTTGATTAGTCGGGAAAATAAAATGTAGTTGGTGTGTGAGCTTCCACCAGTCAAATCTTATCTTATGATTTTCATAGAATTTGAAAAGAGTGGGGTTTGCCACATCTCTGGCACTCTGGTAACGAACGATCCAATTTTTAAACTCAAATTAAAAAAAAAAATGAATTGGAACGAACAGAATCAAGACAGGCACATCCAAGCGTAAATGAAAAAATATTTGTATTCCAAGCCTTAGAAAAGGTAACAAAATCAGGCAATTGTTGGGCTTCGGGGTTTAGTGACCTAGACAACAAATTTGTAACGATTTACGGGAAAATTCTCGGGGAAACAGTACGAAACCGAAAAACGCAATCAACCAATTGAAGCTTTATCAAAAGAAACCGTTTTGAGACCCAGCGGATTGCCGAAGGGATTCATATTACGGCCACTCACATCTAATCCCCATTTTTATACCACTGTGATTCTGCCTTGATAAACACTGAATGGAAACAAAACTATTTTTGTTTTTAAATTCAGAGGCTCAAAGGAAAAAAAAAAACACATTCTAGAACGTGAGTGACGGGTGTGTGTGTCACGGCTAACAGCAGGAAATGGCCGGAGCAGAAACCCGGCTCCCGGGATTTACAGCTCTCTCTCTCTCTCTCTCTCACCGATCCTTCCACCTGCTCGTCGGAGAAGTCCAAAACCTCCAGCATCCACACACAAAAAGTCCTTCAGTCTTCTTCTTCCTCGTCTTCCACATCCTCGTCTTCGTAATAGTCTTCATCCTCCGCCTTTATCAGGGCCGCCGCCACCTCTTCGTCCACCTCGTCGTCTTCCCCCAGACACACCTCGACCTCGCAAGGTGCTGGCAAGTGTGAGCGAAACCACTCCAACACGTGCTCGGCGCTCATTCCCGATTTGCGGCAGAGCATCGGCAAGTCGTGCTCCTGCAGCTGTGCATGGGCGGCCCAGTACCGCTCCAGGGGGCTCGCGTCCGGAGGGTTTGCACACGGCTGCGGAGGAGGTCCCGAGGAAGCCGGCTCCGGACTCTGCCCCGCATTGTCCCGGAACCATTTCAGCTGACCGTGTTTCAGGGCGTAACGCGTGTCTCCAAACCACTGGATGATCTCTGCCCGTGGTAGCCCAGTGATCTTCTCCAACTGGTGATAGTCCTCTCGCCTGGCCCACTGCCGATGGAGGAAGAAGGACTTCAACAGATCCAGCTGTTCCTTCGTCTTCCGCCTGGGCTTCCGTAAAACCTCCGGCAAGGAGGTCTGCTGGTCACTAACAGAGGGCTGGTGGTTCTGATGGTCCGCAAGGCCGGCCGCAGCTTTAGAGGAGGACGGGGCAGCTTTAACCGGAGAGCCCAGCGGAAGAATCACCGGGTGGTGCCCACCGTTAACTGCGGGCGTGATGGGCTCGGCTGGCGCTTGGGACACGGCGGGGAAGCTCCAGGCCATCGTGTGAGAATCCTGCAGGTTGTAATCCAGGCCCATCGTTGTGATGGGTGGATAAGCCCCGGAGGAAACGGTCTCTTTGGCATTCTGAAAATTAACCATGATCCCTGAAGGTTCAAAATTTCCCTGAGGTTTCTTGTAGCGGGGCGAGTCGTTTTCCTGCAGTTTCCAAATGTCCTGAGTGATCGTCCCGAGTTCTTTCGTCCCTTGAGCCGTACTGCAGTGGTTTAAGGAGGTTACTAGAGGTTGCTGGTTCTCTGGGTATTTGCCGGAGTAGTGCAGAGTGTGGGGAGCCAGCTGGTGGTAGGGAGGGCTTTTGCACGTTGTCTGGGGCCAGTAGTCGCCCTCGCTGCCGGCAAGCAGGCAGCTAAAGTGAAGTTGGTCCTGGTGGTAGATGAGGCGAGCCCGAGTCTCTTCGATCTCCTCGGCGCTCCAGCTGATGCCGCAGCGCAGCCGCTGTGCCATGAACCAAGCCTTCACCTTCTCCATGTGCAGGCCGTGACGCAGGCAGAGCAAAGCCAGGTCGGAAAGGCTGGGGTAGGGGAAGTAGCTGAAAGTCTGCAGCAGGTGCTGGTTCCCGTCGAGGTCGCTGGTCTGGGCCGCCTGGGTCCACACCAGCTGGAGGTCCTCGGAGATGGGCGGCAAACAGATCAAACCTGGCGGTGAGCAGAGGCAGCCAGAGGCGTCCTTATTGGAGGGCATGGCTGCGGCGGGCCGGGAAGCTTTCTCTCTTTGGGAATCAGCGGCGGCTTTTCAGAAGAGCTGGAGCAGAGGGGAAGAGAAAAGGGAAAGAGACCCAGAATGCATAAATTGTAGGAGAAGACGTAAAAAGAGGCCGCAACGTAAGCAGTAAATAAACGAGGCAAGGATTAAAGCAGAGAATCCAGAGAAAAGGCGAGCACGGTTTTTGGAGATCTTTTAATACCTCAAATCCATTTTTCTCTCTGGTCACTACCCAGCGCCTGGGCACTACAATTTCAGTCCACAAGTTACGGCTCGCGTATCTGAGTGCTCTCCTCTAAAAAATAGACTCTCTACACATAGAAAACTATCGCTGGTCAGAAAGAGGACAGTGTAGCTAGACCCCGACTTCTATGGGCTGGACCATGAGGGAAGGAGATACAGACAAGCACCTTGTCACATGAATCTCTCTTATTGTCCAAGGTGGCCCCATCCAGACCCCGGACCAGCGCCTCAGCATCACAAATTGCTTACTTCTCTGCATTAACACAGCCTCTTCTCCAGACTCTGCATTTCCTACTTATTTTGGTTTCTGTGTCAGAAAGATAACAGAACCTCTTTCTGTAAAAAGACATTTGCAACCGCTCTTCCTAGTCCTTCCCTTCTTTCATGTGGATTTGCCAAATAGCGTGTTTTACTTGGCCAAGAATCTCCCTGTTCAGGTGAACTGGGAAACTGCGGTTAAACATCCGCTTATTAACTAGAACATATCATCATTATCCTATTAGGTTTCTGGACCCAAAAAGCATTTCTGCGCACCACCCATTTTAACGTTAATTGCTGAGATTTCTCATTGCCCCGAGCTAAAATGTGAGTGGTTTTGGCTTCACGCGAAGTGTGAAACATTCGGTATACAGTAGTTTATAAACCACAGCTTCTAATTTGGCTTACTGAACCTTGGTTAACCAAACTATGGCTTAGTACACAGGTCTGTTATACAAAAGGATGGGAAAGCGTTGCGTTCCAGCTGACTCTTCACAGGTTTGCTAAAGCCTACCTATTGGTATGCTTTGCGCATCCACCGACATTTGTGGAAGCCTTTTTTTTTTAATCCGGAAAGTCTATTTGGAGGAACCGAGGGTGTTTCAAAGCACAATAATTTATATAACCCGGGAACTTAAAACCCGGAGAGGTAATAAATCGAAACAAAATGCAGCCGCCAAGCCCATTGTGCTAATCAGACTGAAGAGCCAATTTGCACTTTAACAGCCATGGAAAACAGATGGCTTCAAATTAGTAAACAGATAATATGGAAATAACGGGGCAATTAAGGCCGGTTTAAAAAACGACGGGAGAAAATGAGGTGCCCGAAGTCAAAAATTCACGGGAAACTGCTCCATCGCAGCCTCCCCCCCCGCCCCAAAGCCAGAGTCCACCGCCTCTTAGTAAATCCTGCCACTAATGGAATAATGGGTCTTGCTCAGTAAATGCACTTCAGGAGGAGCAAAGCCTTTTTTTAAAGTGTGTGTATGTGTATGGGAACTATCCTGATCCTATCTTTGGAATGATGACAGATGTAAACACCACCAAAAACCTCTCCTTTTTCCAGCCTCGTGTCCCCCAAACGTCCTCACTACCCCTTTCTTTGTGGGTCCCCCTACTCCAAGACTTCTTCAGCGGCCTTCCCTTCCCGCCTCTCGCCCCTGTCTTAAAACCCCTTCACTGAATTCTGGACACTGTACTTACTTTTTTTTCCCCTCCCACCTCAGGAGTTTCCTTCCTTCCTTCTCTTTCCTATTCCCTGCAAGGCACGCCGGGAAACAGAAGGCGGAGTTTCTCACGCCAAGGGAAACTGGCCCTTTAAGGGATGGGGGGGGGGGTCCTAATGTTTTCTTTTCCACCAGGGTTTTTCTAAGTTGCCTCTGGCTTTTTTTTTCTTTTTCTTTCTCCTCCATCTTTTGCTTCTCCAGTTCACCTTCCTTAAACTCCTCTTTAAAAAAATAGAAAGCCTAACTTAAAACTGAAATACGCCTCCCAAAGGATGCAAAAGCCGGCTTCTGCGTTTTTCATGGGGAAAGTTTAGAAAAGCGGAGTCAAATAAACCGAGATTGCTAGTTCGATGGAAACGTCAAAGGATGCAAAAGCCGGCTTCTGCGTTTTTCATGGGGAAAGTTTAGAAAAGCGGAGTCAAATAAACCGAGATTTCTGGTTCGATGGAAACGTCACGGTTTAACCCACAGACCTTTGTCTGCCTCTTGGTGCCAATGCCACTCTTTCTAGCCTCCCCTGCTCTCCACCCCCCCACCCCACCCCCACCCCACCCCGGCTGCCATAAAGCGCTTTCTGTGAAATGGGGATAATAGTTGTGCAGCAGCTGCTTCCCAGGGGAGCTGGGAAGACAAACACAACGGGAGGCCAGCAGACAGTACTCGCTGTGTAAAGCCGGCGCTTTTCCCTAACGGGTTAGCATCCGTCAGCAGTGGCAGGTTGTAGCTACTCACTTGGCAAGGGAAAAGATGCTACTACCTTACCGCAAGGTGCTGCACCGGATCTCTTGAGAAGCAAGTGTAAGATTAACCAGTTAATTAACCAGTGGAACAACCTGCCTCCAGAAGCGGTGAATGCTCCAACACTGGAAGTTTTGAAGAAGAGACTGGACGGCCATTTGTCTGAAATGGTATAGGGTTTCCTGCCTGAGCCAGGGGTTGGACTAGATGACCTCCAAGGTCCTTTCCAACTTTACTATTATTATTATTATTGTACGAGGCTCTTTCAAAAGAGGAGGGAACGCAACTTCGAGAAAAGTGGCACAGCCAGAAAGCGGCTGTGCACGCTGGGCTGCGCATCCCAAAATTGCTTCTCAACTGCTCCCCCCCCTTTATTAAGGGCACCCCTAAACAGCTGCATCCATCTCTTGCTTCACCCTCCCAGCTTCCATGCCAGCCCACCCTGCGCCCTCTCTATGGTGGGGCAGAGCTGCCCTCTGGCTCACTCACAACCCCCCCCCCAAATCCAGAGGTGGCTTCTACCCATCCCTTCCTTTCTCCTTCCCTCCATGCCATCTCTTAGGATGGGGATCCTCCTCCACCCTGCATGCTGCTAAAACAAACCAGCATGGGCTTTTGCTGAGGACTTGACGCTTTAAGGAACTAGTCCTCGGTGAGGATCAGCACTGCAATCCCAAAACAAGTCACTCGAAGCAGCTCCCGTCCCAAGGAGAGGGGAACCTGTTGCAGCCATTTGTCCGAAATGGTCTAGGGCAGGGGTAGGCAACCTTGGCTCTTTTATGACTTGTGGACTTCAACTCCCAGAATTCCTGAGCCAGCCATGCTGAGGGGAAAGGGAGAGGTTTCCAAGCTGAGCCATGCTGGCTGTGGAATTCTGGGAGTTGAAGTCCACGTGCCTTAAAATTGTCAAGGTTGAGAAACACTGGTGTAGGGTTTCCTGCCTAAGCAGGGGGTTGGACTAGACGACCTCCAAGGTCCCTTCCAACTTTATCTTTATCATTATCATTATTATTATGAACCACGCGTGTCTGCGGGGCAAACCCTCCTCTGCCACGCCGCTCCCCTACTTGGGACCACCGGCAGCCCCTTCCCCAAACTGCTTCCTCCCCGCCCCGAAAAGAGAAGCGGCGAGGCGGGCGGGGGGGGGAGACTGAACTCTGCCTCTGCCTCTCCACCCGCCCGCGCGGCCTTGCCCTTCCTCTTCCTCCCCTGCCGCCTCTTTGTCCACCACGAGCACCCCCCACCACCCCGCTCTGAGCCCCAGGGCCCATGCTCCACGGCCTCCGGGCTCGCCCACTTTCTCAAACCTTCCCTTTCCCTTCCCTGCTCGCAACGCCGCCAGGCGCCTGCCCAGCCCGCCCACTCACCCTCTCCCCGCATGGGGAGACCCGTCTGGGGCAGAGGAAGCGCCGGGGAACAAAGGGCGGCCGGGCCAGGCGTCTCTGCCCCGGCGTTGTTAGGAACCGAGCAGGGGAAAGAGGGAAGCCGGGAGAGGAGCGGAGCGGAGCCGAGCCGCTGGCCGTCCCCGGCCACTCACTCACCCGCTCGGCCGCGCTCCGGCTCTCTCCGCCTGGTGAGGGGGGCGCTGGCTGCCGGGGCGCGGGAGAGGCTGGCCTGCCTGCCTGCCATTGGCTGGAGGAGCCCCGAGCGCCGGGCAGGGGAGGCTCCGGACGGTTCCGCGCTCTGCACGTGCTCAGAGGCTCAGAGGCGCTCATTGTGGCTTCACGCGTTCCAGAACGTTCAAGGCGTGGGGGGGGGGGGGAAGGAAAGCGGCCTTGTGGCCTGCCGCCTTCCCTAATCCCTTCCTGGCTTCCCGGGATCGCGGGGTTGGGGAACTCGAGGGTTTCGCGGGTCGTCAGAACGTGGCCGTCCCCTCCGCTTCGGGCGTGCACTAGGCCCCTGGGTTAAGCGAGGCTCCGAGCGACGGATTTGGAGAGGCGAACTCCGGGACTGCGCGGTCGTGTTTCTCTATTCTCTTGCTTCATCGAGGCCAACTTTTAACAACGGAGAAAGCCAGAGTTCTCCTCCTCCTGGGTGCAAATTCTCACCCTTCCTAAGTCTAAGCCATAGTTTACTAGGCAAACCCCGATTGTTGGTTCCAGATGCACTCTCCCAGTAAAAGTGGTAAATATGATCAGGCTAAAAACTGGGAGTCCCGAGTTAGAGTCACATCAGTGGCACAAGGCCAACGGGGTGATCTTGGGCCAGTCAATTGCTCTCAGTCCTAGGAAGGAAGCAACGGCAAACCACGTTCGAAAAAAATCTTAACCAAGAAAACTCACTTATCCAGGGCTAGGCAACCTTGGCTCTTTTATGACTCGTGGACTTCAACTCCCAGAATTCCTGAGCCAGCCATGCTGAGGGGAAAGGGAGAGGTTTCCAAGCTGAGCTATGCTGGCTCAGGAATTCTGGGAGTTGAAGTCCACAAGTCATAAAAGAGCCAAGGTTGCCTACCACTGCCTGCCCTAGAACAAGGGTTCTCCAATCTTGGTCATTTGACGACTTGTGGACTTCAACTCCCAGAATTTCTCAGCCAGGGTTGAGTTATGGGAGATGCTCCCTAGAACAGGTAAGCAACCTTGGCTCTTTTATGACTGGTGGACTTCAACTCCCAGAATTCCTGAGCCAGCCATGCTGAGGGGAAAGGGAGGTTTCCAAGCTGAGCCATGCTGGCTCAGGAATTCTGGGAATTGAAGTCCACGAGTCATAAAAGAGCCCAGGTTGCCTACCCCTGAGGTAGTCTAAAACAGGAGGAGGGAAAGAAGCCATAAACCATGGCTGACCAATTTCAACGGCAGATAGACTTGTATATCTTGTCATTTAACAATGATTTGGTTTGCACCTTTTTCCGAATGAGGTTTATGAAGGGATTTTATACTCGTTCAAAAGGCTCATTCAAAGGAGGTAGTCCTCATGACCTGTCGCTTAGCGACGGTTCCAATGGCTGTCCCTCTGGTTATGTGAGCGCATGTTGGGCATATAATAATAATAATAATAATAATAATAATAATAATAATAATAATAATAATAATAATAATAATAATAATAATAATAATAATGGAGGTCATCTAGTCCAACCCCCTGCTCAGGCAGGAAACCCTATACCATTTCAGACAAATGGCCGTCCAGTCTCTTCTTAAAAACTTCCAGTGTTGGAGCATTCACCGCTTCTGGAGGCAGGTAGTTCCACTGGTTAATTGTTCTGACTGTCAGAAAATTTTTCCTTAGTTCTAGGTTGCTTCTCTCCTTGATTAGTGTCCATCCGTTGCTTCTTGTTCTGACTTCAGGCGCTTTGGAGAATAGCTTGACTCCCTCTTCTTTGGGGCAGCCCCTGAGATACTGGAACACTGCTGTCATGTCACCCCTGGTCCTTCTCCTCATTAGACTGGACATACCTAATTCCAGCATGTTCCTTGTATGTTTCAGCCTCCAGTCCCCTGATCATCTTTGCTACTCTTCTCTGCACTCTTTCTAGAGTCTCAACATCTTTTTTACATCGTGGTGACCAAAACTGGATGCAGTATTCCAAGTGTGGCATTACCAAGGCCTTGTAAAGTGGTATTAATACTTCACGTGATCTTGATTCTATCCCTCTGTTAATGCAGCCTAGCACTGTGTTGGCCTTTTTGGCAGCTGCAGCACACGGCTGGCTCATATTTAGTTGATTGTCCACTAGGACTCCGAGATCCCTCTCACAATTACTACTATTGAGCAAGGTACCACCTATGCTGTACTTGTGCATTTGGTTTTTCTTACCTAAATGTAGAACCTTACTTTTTTCACCCTTGAAGTTCATTTTGTTAGATAGCGCCCAGTGTTCAAGTCTATCCAGATCCTCCTGTATCCTCAGCCTGTCTTCTGGAGTGTTGGCTATTCCTGCCAGCTTGGTGTCGTCTGCAAATTTGATGAGTTCCCCATCTATCCCCTCGTCCAAATCGTTGATGAAGATGTTGAAGAGCACTGGGCCTAGAACAGAGCCCTGGGGCACCCCTCCACACACTTCCCTCCATGTAGATGCGGTTCCATCGAGGACCACACACTGCATTTGGCAATCATCCTGCATTTACAGCTCTTTGTGGTGTGCCGTAATCATTTTGCTGTGTTTTATGACATTTTTGACAAACACAGGTATCTTACTTCTGGCTTGGGGCCAAACGCTCCATAGTGAACAATACTTGCTTAACGACTGTGGCATTCGCTTAATGACCATTGCAAAAAGGATGCAAAATCAGGTCAGTCACATGGATGATCTGTTTTCCGACCATCTTGACCTAGGACCATAATGGGCAGGCTGGCTGGGGAATTCTGGGAGTTGACGTCTGGTGGACTTCAACTCCCAGAATTCCTCAGCCAGCCACGCTGAGGAACTGGAAGACTGGTGGACTTCAACTCCCAGAATTCCTCAGCCAACAACACCGAGGAACTTGAAGACTGGTGGACTTCAACTCCCAGAATTCCTCAGCCAGCCACGCTGAGGAAGACTGGTGGACTTCAACTCCCAGAATTCCTCAGCCAGCCACGCTGAGGAACTTGAAGACTGGTGGACTTCAACTCCCAGAATTCCTCAGCTAGCCACGCTGAGGAACTGGAAGACTGGTGGACTTCAACTCCCAGAAGTCCTCAACCAGCCACGCTGAGGAACTCCCAGAATTCCCTAGCCAGCATGACTGGCTGAGGAATTCTGGGAACTGTAGTCCACCGGTCTTAAAGTTGCCAGGTTTGGAGACCCCTGATCTAGAGGTCAGTGTTTCTAAAGCCACTGTTAGAATGAACCCAGAGGAAACAATTTATCGGCAAACACATCCATACAACACGTACACCTAGGAGCTTTCACTCATTGTCTCCTGTTCCTCCATTAGCTTCGAGCTCTATGTGAGGAAGTCAAAAAAAGTCAAGATGCCAATTTTGTGCCTCTAATACTTTCAGGCAAGGCTCTTTTCCCACATTCTTTTTATTACTACAAAAGGCTACAAAAGATATCATTAAAAGGGGGGATTTGAGTATTCGTGCACAGGGCTGATGTCAGCTGATTTCAGCTAAACCGGGAGGTGGCGGCGGGGAAGAAAAGAAGGAAAAATGTCCAAGGTGAGGTCCCAGGACAGATGGACACCCCCCAACTGCAGAGGGAAAAACTGGGCTGGGGTCCCCCACGCCCCTTAAGAGTCCATAAACTCGTTCTCGCTGCTGAAAAATATTTGGGCTTGGAAGAGAAAGCGATAAAAGTTGCATGCGGTTCGCAAGGAGCTGTGTAGAAAAGTGCAGGCGACGCAACGCTGGGCGCGCCAAGGAAGAAGAAAGCCCCTCCGCTCAATCCTGACAGTTGGAGCAATTGGCGTGGGCACCTCCGTAGCCCTGGCAGTCCGGCCCCAAGCACTGGCAACAGGCGCTGTGAAACCAGCGGTAGCGCCAGGCGCCCACCGACTGGCAGGCTGCGCGGCAGCGGCTCATGGACAGGCAGTCGTTGAAGTAAATGGACTGGCAAGCTGGCATCGTCGCATTGGGGCTCCTGTCAGCGTCTGGGGGTGCCAGGTCTGCCAACGAGAAGGAGAAAAGTCGGTAACAGGAACACAGGCGTTGGAAGGGACCTTGGAGGTCTTCTAGTCCAACCCCCTACTCAAGCAGGAGACCTTATACCATTTTACACAAATGGTTGTTCAGTCTCTTCTTAAAAACCTCCAGTGATGGAGCACCCACAACTTCGGGAGGCAAGCCGTTCTGCTGGTTAATTGTTCTCAGGAGATTTCTTCTTAATTTTGGTCCCCACGATATAAATAAAAAAGATACTGAGACTAGAAAGACTGCAGAGAAGCGCACCAAAAATGATCAGGGGGCTGGAGGCTAAAACATATGAAGCATTAATTGGAGATGTCTAGTTTAAGAAGACAAGGAGCAGGGCTGACATGATAGCATCTTCCAGTATTTGAGGGGCTGCCCCAAAGAAGAGGAAAGGGGTCAACCTGTTCTCCAAAGCACCTAAAGGCAGGACAAGAAGCAACGGATGGAAACTAATCAAGGAGAGAAGCGACCTGGAACTGAGGAGAAATTTCCTGACAGAGAGAACAATTAACCAGTGGAACTACTTGCCTCCAGAAATTATGGGTGCTCCATCATTGGAGATTTTAAAGAAGAGATTGGACAACCATTGGTCTGAAATGGTATAGGGTCTCCTGCCTGAGCTGGGGATTGAACAAGAACAGAGGCCTTCAAACTCATGGACTTCAAACTCATGGACTTCAACTCCCAGAATTCCTCAGCCAGGCATGCTGGCTGAGGAATTCTGGGAGTTGAAGTCCATGAGTCAAAAAAGGGCCGAGTTTGAAGACCCCTGAACTAGAAGGTTTTGGTTTGGTGGCCTGGAAAAGGAGACAGGCACTGTTATGCGGGCGTGCGCACGCACCAATGGGCCGCGTGCGAGTGCATGCGCGTGCAAAAATGGGCCGTGAGCGAATGCATGCACACGTGCAAACTGGGCGAGTGCCGCAAATGGGGCGGTGCTAGCGTTGGGATGCTTGGTGCGGCGCTAGTGCCGGAGGGATGCTTGGGGCTGGGCTGCGCTCACGTCGAGGGACACTCGCAGCGGCGCTAGTGTGAATGTGGGGGGTGAGTGCATGCAGCAGCACGGTGGCCAAGAGGCCATGGCCCGGTAATGGGCCACGGCCCACAGGTTGGGGACCCCTGCCAAGGTCCTTCCAACTCTGTTATTCCGTACAGCCCTCCCACTCCGGGCATACCTGTATGTGGTCCCAGCAGAAGATGTTCAGTATCCACGTGGTTTTGCCGCAGTTCCTCGTCTAATGGCAGAGTTTTGATGCTCCAACCTAGAGCAGGGTGATTGTTGGAGAGAGCCAGAAGCGCCCGGAAAAGGGACGGTACCGGAGACACCAAGTCATGCATGGAGCTTCGCTGGGCAGGGTGGGGAGCGGACGAGACACGTTCATCACACAGACCTTGAGATGGGGACAACAACAAGGAGACCACAAGGAACAAGGGCCACTGTAATTACAGGGGGTGCTTGACTTACCACCACAACTTCCGTTGTTAAACAAGACTGGTTAAGTGTTAAGTGCAACATCCCCCGTGAACCACGTGATCAAAATTCAGACACTTGGCAACTGACTCGTACTTACGACGGTTAAAATGTCCCGGGCTCACGTGTTTCCCTTTTGCGACAAGCAAAATCAAGGGGGAATCCAGGCTCACTTCACAACCGTGCTCCTAACTTGACAACTGCAGCGATTTGCTTAGCGACTGGCGAGAAAGGTCGTAAAACCGGGCCAAAACACCACTTCATCGCTGAGTCCGCTTAGCGACGGAAATTCGGGGCTCTGTAGTGGCCGTAAGTCGAAGATTTACGTAGATTTTTTTCCCCAATGGAGGATGCTGGGAAACCCAGACCCATCGCAAAGAAGGCTGGACATTTCAGAAAAGAGGGTAGGAAGACCCCCTCCCCCCAATTCCTGCACCCCACCTCGTGTAAGTCTTGGCCCTTTCGACCCAGCGGGCAAATAATCTCACCTACACAATCGCAGCACGGTTCCCACAGCTTAGCCAGGCAGAATGCACATTCCCGACAGCACCGAGTACGGTTGGATTTGCACTGGCACATTTCCTGCCGAGAGAATAGAATAACAGAGTTGGAAGGGATCTTGGAAGTCTTCTAGAACAGAGGCCCCCAACCTCCAGTCTGTGGACCAGTACCGGGCCGCGGCATGACAGCAACCGGTCCACACAAACAAGCAAAGCCCCATCTGCGGGATGTGGGCAGCACACAAAACCACGCAGTTTCCGGTCCGTGGAAAAACCTCTCTCCATGGAACCGGTCCCTGGTGCCCAAAAGGTTGGGGACTTCTGTTCTAGCCCGACCCCCTGCTCAAGCAGGAAACCCTACACCAGGGGTCCCCAACCTATGGTCTGCAGCCCAGTACCGGGCCATGGCCTCTTGGCCACTAGGCTGTGGGAATACCTGGCAAGCCCCCCCAGTAGCGCCGCAACGTGGGTGCTAGCAACCCTCTTTGCCCATGCGCAGGTGCGCTAGCACCACCACCAGCATCACACGGGGGCTAGCGGCCTGTTTGCCCGTGCACGCAGGCGCCAGTGGCCCGTTTGCGCATGTGGGTGAGCGCCGCAGGTGTTGATCACCGTGTCCCAATTTTGATCAGGTGACCATAAGGATGCAACGGTCGTTAAGTGTGGAAAAACGGTCACGAGTCATTTTTTTTTCCCCATGCCGTTTTAACTTTGAACGGTCACTACCTCCTCTTTGCGTCTAGGGCAGTGGTGGCGAACCTATGGCACGCGTGCCAGAGGCGGCACTCAGAGCCCTCTCTGTTGGCACGCGTGCCACCGCCGCCAGCAACAAGTCCATCAGGCCGCCACCGCCGCCCGGAGCAGGAGCCCCGCCCACCACAATGGAGGCGAAGCGGCTGACTAGCAAGCTTGAGTAGAGGTGGTAGAGCGGAGGTCACCAACCATTGTCGATTGGCGGACTGGAAGAAAAGGGAAGGGGAAGCATTTTACATGCGTGCATGCGCGCACGGGGCTACGAGCATGCACGTGCTGCAAATGGGGCAGGGCTAGTGCCTGCGGGATACTCACTAGCCCTGCCCCGTTCTTGCAGGGTGCAGCGCCTTGTATCTGCATCCCGCGGCGCAGTGGCAGCCGTTTTTGCGCCTTGCAGCATGGTGGCCCGTTTTTGCGCCCCCGGTTTTTGCGTGCCAGAGGCGGCACTCAGAGGTGCCTCCCTGCTTTGCCCCGACGGCACCAAAATGCTGGTGCAGCCCTGGCACTTTGTGATAAATAAGTGGGTTTTGGGTTGCGGTTTGGGCACTCGGTCTCTAAAAGGTTCGCCATCACTGGTCTAGGGGCTTTGGATGCCTAGAGATAGCAAATTTACGAAGGAACGATAATGATGACTCCTTTGTTTCCCAAACATTCTTTGTTGTTTCTTTGGGAAAAATAGAATAAGAGAGCTGGAAAGGACCTTAGGCGTCTTTTGGTCCAGCGGTCGCCAACGTTTTCATGCCGGCGGCCCGGAGGGAAAGGAAGCAGCTGGGAAATTTGTGCAGGAACAAGGCCGCGCACACCCACACAGCACTAGTGGCCCCATTTGCGTAGGCGTGCAGATGCTAGCCGGCGCCGCTAGCCCCACACGCATGCGCAATCGGGCTGCAAACCCCGCACGGTGCTAGCGGTCCCCGTTCACGCAGGCGCGCAGGCGCTAGCCACTGCTGCTAGCCCCGAGCGCGCACACAAATGGGCTGTGCAACCGGCAGGCGCGCTAGTGGCCCTGTTTGCTAGCCTGCTCACGTGTGCAAATGGGTCCGCGGGCGCTAGCGCAAGTGAGGGCGAGTGTGCGTACATGTGGGCCGCGGCCCATAGGTTGGGGACCCCTGTTCTAGTCCAACCCCCTGAACGTTTGTACCCAGATCACGGCTCTTCGCAGCCCCTTACCTGCAGCAAACACTTGCTGACATCGCTAGCACAAAGGGCTTTATTGCACCCCTTAGCCTGGGCACCCACAGCCCACGCGGCTGCCACGAAAAGCAGAACTGGCCACCAGCCCATGGCTGCCAGCTGTACCTGGAAGAGGATCAATATATATTAAGAGTACAGGAAGTCCCTGACTTGAACCACAGTTCAGCTCAAATTTCTGTTGCTCAGGGAGACAACTTGGTTGAATGAGCTTAGACCCATTTTACGATCTTTTTTGCCACAATTGTTAAGTTAGTAACCTGGTAATAATAATAATAATAATAATAATAATAATAATAATAATAATAAAAGTTGGAAGGGACCTTGGAGGTCATCTAGTCCAACCCCCTGCTCAGGCAGGAAACCCTACACCATTTCGGACAAATGGCTGTCCAGTCTCTTCTTAAAAACTTCCAGTGTTGGCGCATTCACCGCTTCTGGAGGCAGGTGGTTCCACTGGTTAATTGTTCTAACTGTCAGGAAGTTTCTCCTTAGTTCTAGGTTGCTTCTCTCTTTGGTTAGTTTCCATCCGTTGCTTCTTGTCCTGCCTTCAGGCGCCTTGGGAAATAGCTTGACTCCCTCTTCTTTGGGGCAGCCCCTGAGATACTGGAAGACTGCTATCATGTCCCTCCTCGTCCTTCTCTTCATTAGACTAGACATACCCAATTCCAGCAACCGTTCCTTATATGTTTTAGCCTCCAGTCCCCTAATCATCTTTGTTGCTCTTCTCTGCACTCTTTCTAGAGTCTCAACATCTTTTTACATCGTGGTGACCAAAACTGGATATAGTATTCCAAGTGTGGCCTTACCAAGGCCTTGTAAAGTGGTATTAACACTTCACGTGATCTTGATTCTATCCCTCTGTTAATGCAGCCTAGCACTGTGTTGGCTTTTTTGGCAGCTGCAGTTGTTTTGCCACAGTTGTTAAGTTAGTAACCTGGTTGTAAACCGAATCCGGCTTCCCACCCGTTGACTTTGCTGGTCAGAAGGTCGCAAAAGGGGATCACGTGACCCCGGGACCCTGCGACCGTCGTAAATATGAATCCGTTTGCTCAGCATCTGCATTTTAATCACATGACCTCGGGGATGCTGCGACGGTCGTGAGTGTGAAAAATGGGCATAAGTCCCTTTTTTCAGTGGCCTTGTAACCTTGAACGGTCACTAAATGAAGGGTTGTAAGCCGAGGACTATCTGAGCATTACATGCTCGGCGGTCAAGCCGTGCCTGCCAACTCTTCCCCTCTCTTAAGGGCACAGAGATGCAGGATTTAAAATTCATCCTTTTGCTAATCGGAGGACATTCCTCTCTATGGTATGTTTCCTAATTTGGCCTGCTTTAAGACGGGTGGACTTCAATTCCCAGAATCCCTCAGCCAGCATGGGATGCCTGCTGGCTGGGGAATTCTGGGAATTGAAGTCTGCACATCTTTAAAGTGGCTAGGGTTGGAAAAGCATGCTTTATTGTCTGTAAAATGGGG